TCGATAACTATAAGAGCTATGTATATGATTATCGAAGAGTAAGCAAACTAACAAAAAACTATTGAAACAAGAGCCTATGTACCAATCAGTAAAAGCTTTTTACCATTTTGGAAGACCCCGTAGCTCTTAACATTGGATTTTTTATAACTTGATCAAGATTGTCGTATCTGCTTCTGAAACTTTGAACGCATATGCCTAATACAAAAATTGAATAATCAGAACAAGATATTGAAAACCATGAATATTAGAAATTAGGCTTCACTTGCATTGAATTGTAAACCCAAATCTACAGTAATTGTTGTTGTACACGTATTCGATTCACACCAATCCAAACTCAAGTTTCTTTCGTTTTTGGGACTTGGATCCAATAACAAGAAAAAAATCGCCGATCTAACCCATATCTTACAATTTCGGGATTAAAAAGTATAACCAAAGCATCTGATTGAGAAAAATCATTTTCAATTAGCTCTGGAATGGTTCTCCCTCTTTCTCTGTTCATAACGACGAGGTGACTCTGTGTCTCTGTCTCTCTCTAAAAAAAAAAAGAGACCATGCTTTCCGACGTGTGTGTCAAGTGTCTAATTCTTTAATTCATTTTCTTTTCATGTCTGATACGTTTAGAGTTCTCTATTAATATTCTTCATCCACCCATCACATCATTCAGTGCATTTCCCTTAAAGTTAAAGCAATTATTTTTTCTAGATATATCTACAGTAGTATAGTTTATATGAAGATGATATCTGACTACATTTTTAATAATTCTGGTGCTTTTAAAACAACAATTCCAAATGTTCTTCATCGTAAAAACAAAACCTATTTTTAATTACACAATATAAAAATATACATCTACCTATATAACTAGATCAAATAAATAAAGTTTTAAACATTTACATATAATTAAAAAATTTTAAAAATTAAACTAACAGTTAAAATTACACCAGTGCACAGCACATGTAGTAATCCTAGTAGCTGATGATGTCAAATGCAGTGCCAGGTCGATGGTAAAAAGCCTGAAGGTATTTAGCTAAGGAAATCAAAAAGCGTGTTTTATGTGAATGTGTGTCTCTTAAATGCAGCAGGGACACATTCACCTGTACATAGATTTAACATTTCCGTTGAAAATTTGAACAAAGAAAAAAAGGGCCATGAATAACAAAAGTGATTCAGGAAATCCAGAAAAGAGTGATATACGAGTTTGTTTTTTCATTAAGTAGTCTTCGTATACACGCAATTCTAAAACATAGAACACAAGATGAGGCATTGTAAAAGGACAAGATTGTCTAACAGTTTAATCCCAACATAAAAGCACACAGCTACTAGCTCACCACAGTGATTCGATGGCCAATTTAGTTTCTCCATATTAGTTTCAGCTCTTGCTCTTGTGATAGGCCTCCTCCTCCATCTAAGTTTAGCATAGCAGTCCGTGCAAAGCCAACATTGACATTTTTCGATTTTAAATCTTGAAGAATTCTGGCGTAGATGCTGTCTGATCTCAAGGTATCCGAGATAACCACCACATTCCATGGATAACGACAGTTCAATGCAAAATACATAATGTCGGTAAACATAGAATAAGGCCCTGCTGTGTCCCCTGAAATAGTATGTATGTCAAGGCAAGGGAGATTAGGGATTAAATTAACCGAAGAGAGAAAGATAGTAGTAGTAAAAATAGAGGAACGAATTTACCTTTGGCTTTGGCTATTAGTCTGGTGATAAGTCCGCAAGCAAAACATCTATCTCTCCATTCCTGTACCAAGTCTGTCTCGAGGCTATTTTGATCAAGATAAGCCATGAGTGAGGGATCACAATAATACCCCTCTATCGCAAGAGCAACTTGGAGTTTCACTCTAAGCTTATAATAAGGATCCTGGGAGAAGATTGAGGTATCCTGGATGTCCCAGAAGACACGCATATTGCAATAACCAGGTGGAAGGAGAAACCAATAAACAATCAGGAATCCAGATCATCCATCAGAGACAAACCAAGAGATTTATCTTACCTGAGAACTTGGTGGAGGCATCCTTAAGGAAAATGGTTTCCAAGGAGAAGATATCAGACGGTTGACGACACATGGTGGTTTCGCCTGAATTAGCAAGTCTCTTCAGCTTCTTATCTACATGCCCTGGCAAGCTTCCATCATGATCTACTAGGCTATCTTGAATCCAGTCAGGGGATCCAACGGGAACGTCATAACCTGAGTCAGTGTCTGATACGAGAACATTGTAACCTCTTTCATCCAAGTCGTCAAAAACACGAAGGAGGTGGTGGGTTTCTTTTGAGAGTAGGATGACATTTGCTGGTGGAGGATGTTTTAGTATCCAATGAAGAACGTTCCTTATCATCAAATGATACTTACTCTCATCCCCTGAAAAAGTGTTTATCAACAGAACATAGATTGTAAATCTATCAATGGTTAGATTATATTATAAAGAGGGAGGGAGGGATGCTGCAATTCACCTCCCGTGATGGAGTAGGTTTCGATTCCTGCATTGGAGAATATGACTTGTATTTCATCAGAGAATTCATTGTTATCAACATAAGCCTGGATTGTGAGGGTTCCTTTAATACCGTCGCTCTCAAGGCTGCCTTTGAGACTTTGATAAATCGTACTAGGAGCGAGACCAGTAACAGGGACTGGATAGTATTGTGGACAATCGATCATTTATTAGTTTTCGCTTGTGTTGTCGAAAAATAAATAATGAAAGCAACAGCCGAGAAAGTATAAAAAATTATAATTTGTAAAAATATAAATAAATTACAATTTGATCAGGCTAAAAAGAAAAAGAAAAAGATAATATGGTTGGAACTTTGCACAAATTTTGTTCAGGCTCTATTCCTCAAATTTTATCCATGCTAGTAATGGTAATCATCTATCTTATTGACTCTATGTCTATTTCTTTCTCTTCATATTTGGTTACTAAATTTTATCCTCATATTTGGTTATTAAATTTGGTAAAGTTGAGTGTGCTCATTCTAATCAAGGAGCTTGATGGCTATTAACGTGACTAGGGACGCTAGTGAAGTTGAAAGTTGTTTGTGGGTTGGAACATTGGTTGCTTGTATTCTCTGTATAAAATGAAGCTTACTAAATCTTGAAATTAATAACTATGTATGAAATAACTATGTCGCGTACCTAATTGGGTTTTATTGGGGTGTTTGAGGAGTGACCTCTTTTGGAAAACTTGGACAGCTAATTAGCCAACACACAAATCTTAAAAGATCATTAAGCATGTCCATATCCAACTTTAATTATAGGTAACAAGCAATATACATATATAATCAAATTGAGAGATATAACTAATTGGCAAAAATAAGAAATCGTATTTCCAGAGTGAGTTTGTCACATGTTGAAAAAATATCTCTGTTTGCTATTTAAAATAGTATATGTCAAGTGGAGACATAACATACATAAGATTATGTGTAATTAATCATATACGTCTAACAAAATTAAATGTGTTGTTTTTATTATGTTTGTAGTTAAAGAAG